GCATCATAGTTACGGCGTAAGGAACAATTCGACCATACTAACCTGTATACCTACCACGGCTAAGCAGTCAAGAAATCTCGCATATCATCAGAAAAAACATCTGACACCATACTATTTGTAAACCACTATACTCATACGGTTCAAAATACACAAACCATTATTCCCATTAAGACCCACAGTGAGCTCAATAGGTTCACCATGCCAAAGTTCAGCCCAGTACCTTTTCTAGTTAATTAATCCATCATCTGAACAGAAACAAAGTTTTATAATGAACATTTAACAATTTCTTGAGAGACAAAACATCAGGCATAAAAACCTGCAGCCCACGGCCAAAAAAAAACGGAAAATAGCTTTCATAATAGTTCATACTGTCACTACAATTTTTTTGTCAAACCCATAAGCCAAGATAACTCAATTTATCTCGACAGCAATAATGATTTGTTTTCAATTATTTTATTGATGCAGCCATTCGTTACCTACATTTGATTGAATTATGCACATGAAATATCAAAAAAATCAACTCCCAATCATTCTTCCACATTACTAAAACACATACAAAAACATACCCTCCTATATCTGGATTTTTGCGCGGCTAGTCTGATCACTGTTTTATCACCCATCTTAACAACCGAGTAACTGAATGGAAGTAATTAAAAACCGCACATTCATTAACAGCACATCAAAAACCAATAAAAACTTCACTTGTCGACTCACTAGAATTCCGATCAAGTACAAACTTACTAAACTATGTAGAAACTGCACACGCTTTCAAAGCAGACGGTACATTAGAGAAATGAGTGCGGGCAGGGTTGCCAGGTTATGTATCTTGACAACTCATTCGAAGTCTCAAAAAATCCCCACTCCACGTCAACATATTTTTGAACAATTTTACTTTCATAAATAATCTGTGTTTTTACTTTCAATTTACTTCAGTGAGGAATTATTCAAGGACTTTCTCAACTATGATTTCATATTCCATTTTTAGAAGAAATTTTAAATGTTCAAAGTACGGAGTTACTCGATTGAGGAAGGAAAAACGCATATAACAGAAAAGTATCAATTCCCAATTATTGAAAAAACAGCAAAATATCCTATTGACGCATTGCGAATAGGAATTATCCACTATCTATTAAATAATAACATATTCAAAGCATTCCCGTTGCAAAATTTTTGCTCACACAATAATTAAAACATTATAAGTACATAAACCCCGAGCTAATCTGCATTTTTCACATTATCTATGAAATCAATTATTCTGTTGATAACAAACCAAAAAAAAATCACTTCCAATTGTGAATCTTTTTTTTTATTGCACCTACGAAAAATTGACACCTCTAAAAAAATTCCGTGGGGAGGCAGTATTCCTTGCTTCCCCCCCTGCATACGCCATATACAATAACCATATAAGCAGATTCAGATCTTCATTGCAACAAACCTTTCATAGCCCAGAAAGTTAACATCATCCATGCACTATCTACATAACCTCACTTCGTACAGAAAGAAGTGACTTATGCAAAGCAATAGGAAAACTAGAATGTGGGATTCCACAGGCTCGGTTCTGGGTCCTATTTTTCTTTTGATTTATGTACCTAAATGATCTGACATACATCAATACTTTCAAAAACTACACGCTAGCACAGTAGCTTTGTCAAGTGATCAAATCACTTGAAAAAGTTAGTGTGCTAGCGAAACATGTGATATATTTTTCAAATAAAGTTTGTGGAGATCAAATCGTGAGGTGTAGTTTTTGAAATTACTATGGATCTTCATCAAGTAGCGGTCGAATCAATCAGAAAAATACATCAATACGTTATGTAGTTACATTATGTGCTGGCGACACAAATATCGTCTGCATCAGCCCCACACATTGAATACTTAGAAAAGCATGTTGAGAAAGATATGAATAAAGTATTTAAACTCAAAATTTGATGAGCATTGTTGATATAGTTGAATTGAAATAATAGAAGTAAGCTTTTCTGCTGCTAAAAAGATGTAGCACTCTCGTAATTGTAGCAGTTATCTATTTACCATTAGCATTTTTACATTTCAAGACCGTGTTATATGATATATCTGAAAGTATAAGAGGTATATCTCAGAAACAATAATGATTATGAAAAAAAAACATATAGACAGGTTTCGCTCTCATCCAACTTACTCATACAATATTCGCCAAAATAACGATATTGAACTTCCTCTTCTTCCGAAAACTCTGATTAGACTCAGTTATTTACAACTCTCTATAAAATATATAATCACTTACAATTTTGAAGTATACTTAGAAGATTCCTGCTACTAGTAATCTAATTATTTAGACTTTCAAAAAGCTTTCGGTCAAGTAGATCATTATGTTCCCCTCAGTAAATTGACAAAATTGGGACTCTCTAACCAACTGCTCACTCTAATTGAATCATATCTAGTTAACAGAAAACAATTCGTCGAATATGAATCTTTCAAATCGGCCCAGTACGTAGTTACATCTGGGGTACCACAAGGTTCTGATCTTGGATCTCTTTCATTTTTAATTTTTATTAATGACTTGGCAACCTCTTTGAATATTCCTAGCCTACTATTTGCAGACGACCTGAAACTATATTATAAAATTGACGACATTTCTGACTGCCAAGGTGTACAACATGAATTAGATGTAATAAAACTTTGGTGTAATAATAATCGTCTACAACTGAACGAATCCAAATGTAGAATAATATCATTATTCAATCAACAAAACTACAATCAACCTCGTACATGAAATAAAAGATCTTGGTATAACATACGACAGTAAATTAACATTTACAACACATATAAGGAATATGACTGCTAATGCAAATAGGATGCTTGGATTCATTTACAGAAAAGGCAAAAACTTCAAAAGTATTCCACCACAAAATTGCTATACTTTGCGTATGCCAGATCTAAGTTAGAGTATGGCTCTGTGTTATGGAATCCAGTTTACGACTACCAAAAACATCAATTGAGAGCGTGCAAAGGAAGTTCCTAAAATACTTATTGCTAAAAGTTGGTGGTCAATACCCCACGGGAGGCATCGATCAAAACATTTTGTTGACACGATTTGATATGACATCTTTGGAAAATAGGAGAGTTATCCTTGGTATAAAATTCCTACATAAATTACAAACAACAATATTGACAGTACGGTTCTTTCACCCGAGTTCAATTTCTTAGTATCAAGAAGTGAAGGTCGACACAATCTGAAATTCTATTGCGAAGCATCACGCACAAATATTATGCTACGATCACCATTGAATTTTATGTGCAGTAGCTTCAATAAAATCTGTGAACACTATGATATTCATTTCGACTCTCTGAACGCCTTAGTATAATGTATCCACAATCACTTTTAATAATACTTAAATAACATTTGTGTCAGTAGTGCTTCATTGCATGATTCGTAACTTTTTGTGTTATATACTCAATTTTTCATTCCTCTCTTGAAATTTTACATATATGAATATTTTATATATACTTTGTTCCAGCATTTACTTTTATACATTTCTATATTCCATTATTTTTATTATTAATTTCATATATACTCTGTAATAATAGCATTTCCTGTAACTCCTGATGAAAATAAATGGCTTATTTTTTTGAGCATAGTGCACGTAACTCCCAGACAAGGCTGCTTGTACAGAGTTGCACTAAGGAACAACCGATTTTTTTTAATAATATGCAGGTGAATTAAAACGTAACCGGACACTCCGACACTGTGAGATGAATTTCGTCAACCGATTGCAGTTAAATATGATTGGCCAGCGTAAGGAGGCTTGTTTATTTTACCCAATAGATGTAAATGTAAGTAATGATCACGCATCTATCTTTGTTTGAGTTACTTTGCTTGCTGGACGGATATGAGTTTTTATTATACCTTTCAGTTCGCTTCATAAACATAGTATATTATCTTAATTTCAATATTCAAATAATTTCAGAAATATATTACAACAACCAAGTCGAAAACTATCTCTTTCCTGAATTCTCGAAAGTGAGGATATTTACAACATCTGGCAACCCTGAGGGACGATTAAAGGTCCACAACATGACACATCTATTGACTTCCGCTGCATAAATCGGTCATATACAAACTGCGGCTTCAATTGTTTGTGACTGACTAGCTTATCAGCGTTGGGGTGGTGACTCAGACTGGCGTTTGTTTATTCCAAGAATTTTTATGAATTTCTCGACGGGATGAAAGGTGATTCACCGATAAGGAAGGGAATGTGGATAAAAAGTTCCCTTTCAGTTGTACTCGCTTTAGTTTGGTAATATCATCTAGTATTTGATGGTAAAATTTTTTACAGTTTATAATGTTATTAGAGGCAATCTCCCCGAGACCCCACTACATAAAATAAAAAAGCCCCGCCCGCCACGTATGAGAACTTTCACCAATGACCGTGTGATGCACGTGGAAAGTTTATGTCTATAATTGAGGCGCCCGTTTCCAAAACTTGTTAAATCCATCAGAAGTGATTTCGAGAAAATCGCACTTTTATGATACCTTTAATTTGGAAATCAAGTAGGTTTGTGTGACTGATTTGTTATTTATAGGTTGTCATTTAAAACTAATATACGGTCAGCAAACAAATATTAGAGAGTTATTTGAAAACAAAAGTAGGATTAAACGAGTTTTGTAAACATATTGTGGAAATCTTTTCTTTTTTGACCTGCACTTTATTCTCAAGGAACTCTGGAATCTTAACTTCATTTTTAAACCGCAAACACAGTAAATCGCAACAAGACTGCTTCACGTTCAAACAACTACTCACAAAAATCTTATGTGTACGTAAACAGTAAAGAAACCGTGCACATACGAACAGGATCTAACAAGTTTTGAAACCGTAACATGCAATGAATAACATAATACTATTGGATCTACGCACCTTTGAAACAGCACTTACGGCAGTGGATTCACAAACTTTTGTAATAGTATTTATGAAGAATGTAGCTAGTTTTGGAAACGTAATATTTTTTTAATATCATAGTCTTACTGGAAGTAATTAGATTTGGTCCACTACAATTATATAGGCACATGTCAAAGCTGTCAAAGAAGGTATTGTCGCTATTTTCTAAATTTTAGGGAAACATGGATCCAATTAGTTATGGAAACGCACGCCTCAATTCGTTAACGTTTTCTGTAAATTAGTTGAACTATGAGCAAGTTATCTGGAAGAAGTCGGGACAGCCACTCTTGCGTTACACACCAACCTGCAAACAATTTAGACATTTCAATATTTGACGTTTTTCATTAATATCATAAGATAAGATATTTTATCACAGAACTTCTCATCCTAAACGCAATTGATCACTTTATCAACACCACCAACAAGAAGAAAAGCCTCAGCGTGAAAAGATCAAGCTACTTAGATATTGCGCTATTCACAAAATTAAATCCTCATTCAATATTCATGAAGACAAGTTGCTATTATTAAAATCTTGGTCTTTGAGCTGGTAATTTATTAGGTTCGAGATACTGGATCGTCGTGATCATCACTCTTAATAACTTCTATCGCTCCTTTACAACGAAATTTGCATTGTATGGCTCTAAGCAGATGAGCTTCCTGAATAATTAAATATTGCAGGAAATAGTATTTTAAAACCCAGTTTGGTGCGTGGGTGAAAATGTTTCCCAACAACACTTAAAAGGACGGTGAACAACAGAAATGTATCTAGATCGCAGAAAAAGTGTGCTCAATTAGATATTTTCTGTTTTTGAATTTGGTTTTGCTGAACATCTAGTTGGTTATTCGACAGATTTCCTTCATTACGTCCTCTTGTTTGTCTGTTAATTTACAAGAAGAAAAAAAATAGTTTTGTAGGGTTAAGTACGGCAAGTAGTGTGCTTGCTCTTGAACAACTTTTAGGGTCGTGCAGATCGGTGAAAAATTGCATACCTAAACAATAAACGTGGCCAATGGGGGCCAAGTAGTTTTGCGTTGCTCCGGCTAACTATGTCTTAAGAGAGAAACCACTAAACAAAGACAGACTCATTTCACAAAATTTTTATTCACTGTAATGACAAATCTAACAAAGACTTCCGAAAGTTACGTATACTCCTTATACAATCAAGGAAAGAGGGATCCCGATATCGCTCCAATGTGAAAGTACGTCCAATAATTTCTTAATTGACCTAACTTAAACAATAATATAAGCATATACACATAAAAATATAAATCTGCTCTCTTCAAGCTTTTTTTTATACAACAAGTGAGACTACGGCTCAACAGTACGAAAATCCGTTATCCAATATATTTTCTAAATTATCTCCTAAGACACAGCGATAACTAACTCGTGGTCATTCTTGTCAAAATAAGCGAAGGTCACTCAGAGTTTTTTTCTCTGCGCGCTCGCAAAAACAGATCCCAAGTAAACCTCCAGGACAGTGCCAACAATAAATTCGAATTCAGGGTGGTACTGCGATATGAGCCCCCTTGCCTGGTTGAGAACGGATTTATCAAAAAAACGTAACACCTTTCAATTTTTTTGAGGACAAAACACAAGCACTATAGGAAAATATTTAAGGCGCTCTTAGAGCCGATTTGAATCGCTGGGGATTAAATCCACATAAACGCAGTTCTCCAGATGAAAGAGTTCTTAAACAGTGAAGTTCGAGGTGTATTGAGTTGAACCTCAAAACGATGAGCAGCCACAGTCCGTCTCGTATTTCTGATATGTACTGCTCTTGGTGGAATCAAATGTGCCAAGTCACGTGAAAGTATCTATAGAAGAGAGAAATATTTGTGGCCACTCCGCAAAATTCATACCTATTTTTTTCCAATCACAAATACAATGTAGTAGGAGCATCAGTCTGTTGCAACTTCTTTCGCAACGGTAACATCACCCCATTTCATTCAACAGCAAATAATGTCATGTGATAACTCATCTGATAATGTTTTCAATGCAATATATTTATTAAAGAGCGATCGCAAAAAATTTTGGGGTTATATCAAGGAACGTAGAAAAAACTGTGCTGTTGCTAACATATTCACTCTTGATAACGATGAATTATTCAATGATAAGGATATTGCTGACAGTTTTGCTACTTTCTTCAAATCAACTTTGACGAATAGCGGTGTGCCGGTAAACCTCACACTAGTTCCTGAGTATGACCTAGACATCATTGAAATTGATGATATTAAGGAATAAAAGCTTGAAAATGCTATTAAGACACTGAAACCCAAAGCAGCCATTGGAATCGATGGCATTCTACCCTACTTTTTCAAGGCTTACTGTGACTTGTTAAAGTAATCACTGACATTGATATTCAATCTTTCTCTGAAAGAAAATCTTTTTCCAAGCTTTCTCAAAATTGGCGGAGTTACCCCCATACACAAAAACGGCAATAAAAGAAATTACCAGCTTTGTCGAAGATATTTGAACGGGTAATATATAATCGAGTATACAATCACGTGGACTCAGTAATAATCGACCAACAGGATGTCTTTATTCGTAATAAATCTATCTACTTACTTTTCAGTATCTGACCTATCTCTCAACGAAGCTAAATGTAAAATAATGAGTTTCACACGAAAGAAGTTACCCACTATCAAGGACTATTTTTCATTAATCATATCAATTTACAGAGAATCAATGAGATGAAAGATCTCGGGATCATTTTTGCTGGTGTGTTCAGTTTCTCTCGGTACATTGAATACTTAGTATTATAAAAATGAGCTTTGTATTAAGATCTAGCCGTAAATTCAATCACGATACTTGTTTGTTACTCTCTAACTCCATTGTTCGTTCTAAGCTGGAATATGGTTGTGTCATTTGGAATCCAAAGACATTTTCATATTCTGATACTATAAAAAAAGTCCAGAGACGATTATTAAGAACACTCTTTTTCAGAAACGACAATGTCTGGCCTTTACTTATATCGTATTCTAGCCAATTACAAGAAATTAATATGCAACCATCGAAAGACCGCCGTGAGTCGTTGGAAGTGATTTTTGTTTTTAACATTCTTAGAAAACTGAAAGTACCTGAAATTCTCTATATTACTGATTTTCCTGTACCTGACGTAAGACTGAGAAGAAGAGACAATCTATTTCGTGTCTCAAACAATTTGTCTCCTCTTCAACAATGTCTCGAAACCGTTAACAAAATGGTGAGGAACTGTGAAATGGATTTATTCAGTATTACAGAGGGACAACTTCTTCGAATACCAAAATGTGTCTGAATTTTGTTACGGTCATTTTATTATTTACTGTTTTATATTGTTATATTTTATATCGATTTTAACTGTATCAATGGTACTCAATGAATACTATATGTAAGGAACTTTGAAAAAAACTGTGCATCACGTAAGTGGAAACCATTCTGTTTGTTGTTCAGTATAAATACATTTCTATTCTATTCTATTATTATCTATGAAAAACATAGATAATGATTCAGTTCCGATCAATAAATAATTTTTGGTTGAAGTACCTGTACACGCCTATAAAAGCGTGTATCTATTCATATTATCTACCTACTATATATCTATATTATCTATCTACTTATATATTATCTATACATATCTACTTTAGCTCATTGCAAGAGGGATATCGTAGAATTATAATTCAGAATGAAGAAACACAACACGAAAAAATAATTTATATTCCATTCGAGTTGAAAGATAAATGGTGTAATTTGTTATGCATTGATGAATGCAGGATTGAAAGATGCATCAGAATTTGCATTAGAAATACAGTTCCGAATGTTGAGTCATACAAATTTTACTGGAAGTTTGTATTCAAATCACACTAATTTTCAACCAATGAATTAATCAACTGTATGAATCTTATAATGTTCACCGCATGATCAATAAACAATATCGGACACTTCATAAGGAAAAGTTGGATGTAACAACGAGCAAAACAAAGATATGCGAGCTCTGCCTTTCTTTTTTTTCTTTTGAGTTCTTTATTTGCCATCGAAAATATATAAAATTGCAATAACAATTATTCAATCTAATTCTGCAAATAGATCGGTTTGTTGTTCATAAAAGATATAATCTTGTGCATGTGCATGAGATGTAAAAATATAAAATTTTAAATGTTAAACTGTAAAATATGTGTATGAAGGTAAACATGTGAAATTTAAGAAATATAAATGTGAAAATATATCTTGACCTAATAATTACATAGTATATAATATAAAAAGAATGACTGAATATCTGTGAAGTATGCATTCAATACTGTTTGGATTCATATACACCTCCTTTTTGACTAATTGAACGGGGTAACTATTCAGTATAAATATCCATCTTTCAATAATTGGGTTCACTCTTTCTGCAGGTACTGTTTGAAGCCACTGTTTGAATATTTGTTGGTTGCGGGTATGTCTTAACTCATTGGGTATTTAAGTATAGACAATTGGACTCAGATAAGTCAGAAACTTTTGGTGTTTGGTTGTTCCCACTTTTGGTATTTTTGTTGTTTTTTGTTTGAATCTTGTGTCATCTGTCATCAATTGAACCAAAGCGTTGCCAGAACAGCCCGAAAAATCAACCAGGTATTTGGCAATTATAGTGTTAATGAACGCACTGTACGTTGTTAGTTTGCAAAATTCCGTTTCGGAGATTATAGCCTCGAAGATGAGCCCCAAATTGCTCGACCTACAGTAATCCAGGACGAGAATTTGAAGACCCTGGTGCGTGGGATGGCGAAAGAACTAGATGTTAGTTTCCATGCGGTTTTTGATGGTTTAAAACATAAGGGGGTGGTGCTCCAGAATTTGAACGATCGACAGAAAATGTCAGGTTTCGAGATCTGTCCATGTTTGATTTTGGGCAACCAAAACGATCATTTTTGTATCGGATGATGAAAAGTGGACCCTCTACGACAACAGGAGATGTTCGGGAAATCGGTTGGACTCCAGTGAGACTCCCAGGCACTTCCCAAAGGCGAAAACCCACCAAAATGATCACTGTCTGGTAGTCAGCGGCTGGTGTGATTCATTATAACTCTGCAACCGGGCCAAACTATCACAGCAGAGTTATATTGTGGGGAAATCGACGAAATGTACAGCAGCCGGCACAGGTCAACAGAAGAGGTGCGATCCTGCTCCACGATAACGCTCGTCTACACGTTTCACAAATCACCGTCCTGTCTGTTTTTCTGTTTAAAATCTGTTTTTCCGTTAATCAGCTCCTAGCGCCGAAGTTCTGCCTCACCCACCATACTCCCCAGACCTCTCGCCAACCTACTACCTATCTTCTCTC